CAGGGTTCCTTGGAGAAATGGTGGCTCCAGGTTTGGGCAGGGAAAATAGAAGGTCTGCAGCACCTTTAACGAGTCAAGAAGGGAATTACTAAAGGTGTCGTTGGAGCACAGTGGCACAGACAGTCATGTCAGAGACCTAGAGACCAGAGATAAAGCTATTTGAACAATAAAATCCAGTTTGATACAAATGATCCAGAGAAGCTGTGAGATTGCTTATATTCATAATGTCAGAAGGCTATGGAGGAGGATCGTCCTCAAGTTTATAGTCTATCCAGGACGGCCCGAGCTATAGCTTCTAAGACCTTGTTCCAAGAACAGAGAGAAAAAAGGAAGAGGCAGTCCCAGGTATAGTGGCACAGAGGCTGATGCAGGTGGATTGACAGTTTGGGCTATAAAGACACCATCTCCAAAGATTCATTTAACCTATTCATCCAGGCTAGAAAATGACCCTGTCTGGAAAACACAAAAAAAGAAAATGCACATGGCAAAAGTCTACAATAGAATGTCTAAGTAGAGTTACACAAGAACTCTTTTCTGTAAGCATGAACATCAAATTACACAGTAACTTTAGAATAGTCACAATTACACAAAGCACCTGCCACACAAGCCTGGTGACCTGAGTTGTTTCCTGGGACCCACATGTAAGAGAGACTCTGCATACATACAGTAGCATGTGCATTTCCACGCCCAAATTAAACATCATACATACACTCACCCACACACAATCATCAGCTTTAAATTTTTAAACAGAATACTGGGGCGATTAATTGTCACATTACATAAATTACTGTGGACATAATTTATGCCCTCATTCAAGAGGTGGAAGCAGGAGGATCCAAAGTTCTAAGTTAGGATGGATGTTGCTCCTTAGCAGATGCTTGCCTTGTATGCATGAGGCCCAGGTTTAGTCCCTATTACTACAGGGAGTTCAAAGTCAGCCTGGGATACATGAGATAGAGTAGGGAGACGGTTAAGTCAGCACAATGCCTACCATACAAGTACATGGACCTGAGTCAAGGATCCCAGCACCCATGCGGCAGACAGGCTTATGAGTTGCCTAGTAGGTAACTGCACACACCACCAAACCTGGGACCCACATGGTGGAGAGAGAAGCAGCTTCAAGTTTTCTCTGGGGTCCACACGTGTACTTTGGGGACATGTACAGTCCCCCTCTATGATTTTAAATTAAAAGCCAGGCATGGCGGTACACACCTTTTAATTCTAACATCCAGGAGACAGAAGGATCTCTGAGTTCCAGGCAGCCAGGGCTATACAGTGAGATTCTGGACCAAAATAAAAAAAGGTAGGAGCTATAGAAATGACCCAGTGGTCAACATCTCTTGATCCGGGTTCAGTTCCCAGCACCCACACGGTAGCTCACAACCACCTGCAACTCCAGTTCCAGGGGTTCCTCCATAATCACCTGCGTGCATATACCATCTCCATGTAATTAACAATAAAATCTTTAAAAAAAAAAAAAAAGACGGGCATGGTCACTTTTATTTTTGAAGACAGGGTCTATGAAGCTTGACTGATCAGGAACTCCCTATGTAGACTAGGTTGGCCTCAAAATCACAGGGCACCATCTCCACCTGCCTGAGTGCTAGACGTGGTAACCAGCGCTCAAATAGCCGCACAAAACCACCTAACTCCAAATCCAGGAAACGCGACACCCTCCTCCGGCCTCAAGGGTTCCTGTGCATACGTGGTGCATATAAACTCACGGAGGCTCAAACACATGCATAAAAAAGATGAAGTGATTGAGGAGACACCTGATGTCACCCTGTGGCTCCCACATGTATGAACACAAGTACATGGGCACTGATATGGGTTCATAATTGTAACCACACACACATTAATGACATAGCCACTCTAATAAATTTTTCATTACTATGATAAACATATCTGAGGTTATCAACTTTATAGGACAAGCATCATAAGGCAGCTCATGCCTAAGGCTCTCGCACTCAGAAAGCTGAGACAGGGGGATTGTTGTGAAGTTCAAGACCAGTCTGAATTATAACATGGGTTACTATCTCACAAAAAGAATCACTCCTCTAAGAAAGAGCAGACTATTTTTGGCTGTTCTGGGGGCTTCTTTGGTCCTGCCAACAGCACAGTTCATTACAGTGGAAGCTGATGTCAGAAAATCGTTCATGTCAGTTGCCAGGAGGCAAAGAGGAAACGGTAAGACAGCTCAATGGGCAGACACTTGACCAGCCTGAAGTGATTGCTAAAATCCACAGGATAGAAGACTTCTGATCACACATACGCCGTAGAATGTGTATGAATGTATGTGCACACACCCAATAAATAAATGTAAAAGATTAATAAAAAGGTAGGGTTAGGTGCCACTATCTCCTTCAGGGGTGTGGGTCCAATAACCTAAATACTCTCGATAAGGCCTGACCTCCTTAAAGTCCTACCCACTCTTAACAGCATTGTGGGCCAAGCTTTCAAAATACCAGTCTTAGAGACACTCCAGATCTAAACTATAGCAATGACATTAAACAATAGAAACGAGATGTGATGAACTGTGATCTGTGGGACTTCAATACAGACATTTATCATATCCACTTAAAATTAAAAGGTCTTGGGGCTGGAGGATTGGCTCAGCGGTTAAGAGCACTGCCTGCTCTTCCAGAGGTCCTGAGTTCAATTCCCAGCAACCACATGGTGGCTCACAACCATCTGTAATAGGTCTGGTGCCCTCTTCTGGCCTGCAGACAGAACATTGTAAAATAAATAAATAAATAAATATTTTTTTAAAAAATTAAAAGGTCTTGCTATACTGCCCAGACGCATTTTGAAGTCTTGGGTTCAAGTGATCCTCCCGCACCAGGCTCCTGCGTAGCCGGGATCCCAGCAAGTGTGCACCAGTGGGCTCAGCAACAACATCAACTTATTCCACTAGACATCCAACTCAATACTACTAAAAAAAATGCCAGCCGCTGAGGCCAAGGCCAGCCTGGACTCCACACAGCAGTAGGTCAGGAAGGCAGGGCTACATAGCAAGCCCTGATCTCAAGAAATCAAAACCTAAGATGTCATAGTTATAACTATTTGGAAGAGTTTACAGCTTCTTAAAAGTTATTATGGTGATATGTGCCAGGATTCCCAGCATTGAGGACTATCAACTCCCAAAGCAGGGTTTCTTCCCTGGCTATCCTAGAACTTGCTCTGTAGACCAGGCTGGCTTTGAACTTAGAGGTCTGTCTGCCTCCTGAGTGCTGGGATTACAGGATTGCGCCACCAGCTTTCAAAAAAATAATTTTAAGATTCTATAACTGATTCTGGGGAGAGAGGAGATATTCCTACAGAATATTCAATAGAGTCCAAGGCATAGGCCAGGTCCCTGCAAAACACTGTGATCACAGAACAGCTAACAGAAACAATTTCAAGCCTTTATTTACTCCAGCTTTCCCATCTTTGTTACACTGTATCCAATTTCTCATTTTGTCTATTAAACTATTAGTTAACTAAAGGGAAGAAAGAGTAAAACAACATTTACCTGAAGGTCCTGCTACAAGACACAGACTGAGCCATGAACCAGGGTTAGAGGTTTCTTGAATATACCAGGCACCACTATATCTAATACTGCCGGTTATATAAGATTGAATACTAGACGCTGAGGAAAGACTACCTTGGCCCAGGTGGTTTGCAAAACCTTTGCTCACAAAGATCAAACCGAAGATGTGTGGTCTACCTTAAGTGGCACCTGAGACGTACTCTAGCTACCTCAAGTTGAAAGCAGAGATGGCAAAGTGAGGAATATGGGATGAGTTCAGATCCTGAAATCCTCAGAAATCACATAAAAAGCAAGGTGTGGTGGCGCACTTGCAATGCCAGAGAGGCCCTGTCAAAAGGAACAGAGTGGAGCTCCTGCGGGACACCTAAGGTTGTCCTCCGTTCACACAAGTGTGCACATGTATCCGGACAATACCAAGATATAGTGTCATGATGTGTACACCATCCTACATGACTCACTGAAGCAACAGCTCCAGCAGTCCTTAAAAGTATTGCTTCAGCTGGGCGGTGGTGACTTACGCCTTTAATCCCAGCACTTGGGAGACAGAGAGGCAAGAGGAACTCCGCGAGTTGAAGCCAGCCTGGTCTACAGAGCAAGAGTTTCAGGACAGCCAAGGCTACACAGAGAAACCGGGTCTCAAAAAAAGCTTCTGAGGCTTGTCACCCCATGATGTCCACCCACCCTTGGTCCTCCATTTATCCCCAGCATCAAGACAGACAGTTTCGAGTTTTCCCATTTCTCAGTTCTATTCCTCAAAGTCCTGCTTTTCAACACGGTCATGCAGCACAAGGTACTCTATCTTTTAACCCCAACCCTCTTAAAAATTGGATTCTGCCTCAAATCCCATTGGTTATTATTTTACAGGTGTCTCCAGATCCAACCAATGACAAAATATCCCAAATGAAGCATTTGAACCTTGTCTGTCCTCCTTAAACAATGCAGCGTGTATCTCGAAAAGCCTTCCAGAATATGTGCAGATTCTAAGCAAATGCTACGCCACTATACACGAGACCTGGGCAGCCTTAGATTTTGGTCCTGCAACTACCATCACCCAAGGATACCAAGGACTGACTGCTAACAAGCGAAGAAGCACCCTACCTGGTCTTTATTACCTGTCAAAATAACAAGACAGAAAAAGCAAGAAACACCCAAGGTTCAAAGCCAAAACCGGATTTCTCTGACACACCATAAGGCAAAGGAGCAGCCCAAGAATTTATGGGTCACATCTCTAGACACCATATAGCGGACTGCCCCATATCCCCTTATCACCTCACGGTGCTGGCAAATGGACAGGCAGCTCCGGGCTGCTGCTGCTCTGCAGTCTTCCCACCGATCAAGCTGAGCGAGCCATTAGAATAGCAGGGAAGCAGACAGAAGGCCTCAGCCATGGACTCCCATTTCACACCAGGTACTAGCCACAGCCACAGCCATTAGCTGTGACAGAGACTGACAGCAGGATGGACCAGACAGCTCCAGTTCTACACACAATTCTAGTTTATTATGGCAAAGGTGAAAACACCACCTTCTCCACAACAGCAACCAGTAAAATTTATCCCAAAAATAACTCGGTACAAAACAGGTCTGTTTCAGAATTTAAAAAAAAAAAAGAAAAAAAGCCTTTACATGAGTTTAGATCCTATTTTAAAACAGGAGAAAAAAAAGAAACAAAAACAAATCCACCATTGTCTGCACAGTCCAGTTGCCAACCCTCCCTCTCTAGGGATCTCGGATGAAGCTTCTGGGTTCTGTTACTTGTGTGGATTTGCTTGGCTGTTTAACTGGTGTCCATCTGAAAGAGACAGAGGTTCATTAAGGAAGTCCTTGTTTCTTCTGGCTTCAAGAGATCACCACACGCTGTGACTCAGCTCCACCCGTCTTCTCTGAGCCTCAGGACTTACCCTGGCATTGTAAGCATCCAGCTGTGCGTCCAGCTCCTCCGCAGAAAGCTGCTGCTTTGAGTTCCTGCCGGTACCTCTACCTCTTCCCCGGCTGCCTCCACGGGTTCCTCTCCGGGTGCCACCACCACCAAAACTACCAGAGCCACGGTTTCTTGTCATGCCACCTCTGTTTATGCTAACAAAGAAACAGAACTCTGATCTATCTCTGCTTTGTGGATGGCACTATCACAAGCCCACAGCCTTTCCCCATCCCCAAGGGCCCAGAACTTACCTCTGTGCTGGTCTTCTTTGCGTGTCGATCTGTGATGTGACAAGCTGGATGTTCATGGGACGGCCTATGGTAAAAAGAACACAAGAAGTCTTAGTCCAGAGGCTCTGAAGTTGACAGAGGCACCACACCCTGGTCTCCATGCAAGCTCTGGAAAGGGCTTTGTGTGTCTCCAGTGCCCCCAACAAGGTACATGGCCTGGAGAGTCTGGTGGGAAAATAAAGTGGCGATAAATAACCCCACCAACACCTCCTCACTCCTTCTCAGTTCAAGCTAAGAGGGCTGCTTGGTCAGGTGTCCAGGGTGTTCATGGGTGGACAGGTGTGGGTGACCTGACGGAAGAAGAACAGGTACCTTTGTCTTTACGACTATAGCCCCGCACTCAGGTTGTACTATGGCGGTTCTGAGAAGGCTTCACAGAAGTGAATCTTCCGGAAGGAGCTGAAGGAGGGGAGGGATGTAGCTTGCTGGATGGGGGTTCACAAGAGGTTGGTCCAGATGTGTGGGGCAGCATGAGAAGTGGCAGAATGGAAGAGAGAGACAAAGGGGCAAATGCAAAGTGTCCTCAGCCACAGGGGCAGCCCATATTCCTACAGGGAGAGGTGCCAGCCCCAACTCCATGAGCCCCGCAGGTGTCCTGGGCCCAGTCCCATACTCACCATCCAAAGGGACACCATTGTATTGTTTCATAGCCTTCAGGGCATCTGCCTTCCGTTCAAAGTGCACATCTGCTGTCCCTAAACTTCGTCCAGAGCGATCGTAGTGCACGGCTGCTTTCTTTAATGTTCCAAACTCGGCAAAGAGTTCCTGGAAGTGGAAAGGATAGCTGTGAGCACGCGTGCTTTGGGGGCGCTTTCTGGACACCCACCCGGGAAGGGGGCAGGGCAGTGGCAATGACGAGGTGAGGGAGGGGACACTGGAGAAAGAGGGACGACTGTCATGAGCACCTGGGTTCCTGCCCGCTTTGGGACAGTACCACGATGCCCGTGAGGAAAGCAGAGCCCCGGCACAGAGCACAAGATTAAGAACTACCTCTCTCAGCAAGGGCATCACAACTTGACTAATGGCTGCTTATCAAACAGCAGAGGCCAAGAGCAAAACGAAGGGTAGTTCCCACAGAGCAGTTAGCTCAGAGGGCCCCCTGAATCTGGGAGCCGTGAGACCCCAACCCCTCCCCCAAAGACAGATTCTGGCTCACCTTTCCCTCTCCTCCTACTCAAGCCTGCTGCAAAGTCTGAAGTCAAACGCGCCATGGAAACTGCCCTGACCTCAGGCAGGCTGGGAGTTGGAGAGGGAACCCAGGCACACAGCGGGAGTGGAGGTCACCAAAAGCGGTTTCCAGTGGATGCCAGAAACCACCTTAAAAAAAGTGTTGAGACACTGTGAGTGCTCACTGGCCGTGTTCTAACCTCCCATGGCAAGGTCAAAGGGCTGGGCTCTGAGAAATAAAACCCAGAAAGGCCCAGCACCCCGACCCAGCCATCTCCAAAACTAATTCCCAAAAACTCTAAAGAGATGCCTCTGAGGTCCAGTCGAGAAAAAAAAAAAAAAAAAGAAAAGACTTCAACCACAGGTATGAGGACCATGCCCCTGCCCAGACCCACGAAAGGTCGCTGTTAAAACACAGGGCTTCACCGTAACGCACACAGCACAGACACCAGTGCGGCCAGACCTCTCGCTACCACAGGCACAACATCTGAGAAGCAAGCACTCTCGGTCACACCGGGCAGCACTCTGTGCCCGTTAGGAACTGGAAGTCCCTGGCAGAGAGCAGGAGCTCATGGTGGTCGCCTTCAGGAACACACCAGGCTACCTTCCCGCAGCTTAACTTATTAGATATACTACTTTTTCTAGGGTCAAGTCACTCGGGGACAGTGGCTGGCCCCCGGGTCAGCCCGGGGTGGGCGGGCTCCAACCGGGAGGGGGTACTGGACAGCACGTCTGTGCGGGGTGCGGTCGGCTCCGGTCTCCTACCTGGATATCCGCGTCTGACACTCCGAAGTCCAGGTTTGACACCAGCAGTTTCCCACCCGTCTCCACGCCGGCGCCACCCCCGAAGCCGCTGTCGAAGAGGTCGTGCTGCCACTTGTCGGGAAGTTGTTTCGGCTGCAGGCAAAACCGTGAGGGCAGAGAGACTCGTGAGCGTCGCCCCGGGCGCCCTCGACACCCCACCGCCACTCTCTCACGTCGGCCCGCAGCCCGGGGCGCCGAGTCCAGAGAGCACCCCGCACCCGCCGCCACGAGGCCGGACCGCGGCCGGACAAAGCGTCCCGGA